AAAAAAAAAAAAAAAAAAGGTCATCCCTGAGAGGTTCTGGAGGAGATAAGGAAGGTCAAGTACATCAGGGGTGAAAGGATTCTCCCAACATACCCTTTTCCTAAGACACAAGCAGCAAGATTTTGCCCAGACTCAGGCTTTAAGACTTATCTTGATTTATACATGAAACCAAAGTCTCACTTTTTTTAACAGTACATCTCACTGGAAGTCAGTAGATAAAATAAAACAAGGATATAAGAAATATACTGCTAGCAACAAAACTAGCTCTGCCCAAGGACTTTCTGGGTATCCCCAGATGGGAACTAGAAACTACCTTATCCAAAATTAAGTCATCATTTAATTTCTTAGCACCAAAGAATAACGCCTCGGGTCCTAGAAATAATTGGAGAAGGGAGATACCAGCCTTAAAAGTTGTTCTTCAAATAACAAAAGCTTACTTCCAAAAGTGTTGAAACATGTTTAAACCATTTCTTTGTTTCATAGAGAAGTGTCACAGATACATTCCACATTATTCAGGGTTATAAAACAGGCTTTATGTCATAAAGTGATACCTTTCCTTAGAGCAAGATAAATATTATGAACATTGCAATAACCATAGTATGCAAATAGTTGCCTCCCTGAAATTGTTTAAGTAAAATTTTCATGCATGTGAATGAATGTATGTGTTTTACTGGGAAAAAGGCCTTATCTAAATTCTCAAAGGGGCCCAAGAAAGGGCCTGAAACTGGCTGAACTGAGACGGGAAGTAGCCTTTGCCTCAGGCCGACTAGCACCAGTGCTATGATGTTCTAGGCAGCGTTTTCCTCCTTGCTTCTTGCTTCTCTCTTTTCAGCTGTCACTTCTCAGCCACACTACTCGTATACCATTTTTGTTGTTTCTCTTTCTTCTCTAGCTGCTTTTCTTCCTCTCTTCTGGCTCACATGTCTGCCACTGCTCCTTCACTTCTGGTGTGAGGAGAGGTATAGCTTGTTTTTAAAAAAATGGTGCAAATTTCTTCTGATCGGTAGATCAGTCACATGTCTTCTAAACTGTAGTAATTATGGTCAGTTTCATTTATGCTCTGATCTTGGGCTCTTTCCAGTTACCTTTGGGTTTGGGGTGTTTTATGGAAAGTTGAGGAAGATAGATGTCTGATTTCTGGGGACATTACTGGAGCAAGCTTCCTGTAGATTTCAGTAAGCTGAACATGGATGTTAGACAGCAATGAACAGACACAGACACACACACACACACACACACACACACACACACACACACACACACATGCCACTTCTAATCAACGTACCATCTACAGACTTCTTTAAGAAAGTCGAGGCACTCTGTCTCTTTTCTAGTTTGTACTAGTATCTGAAATATTTGCATCCCTAGTCTGAGCTGGGATGTGCAAGAAATATTTACAGCTTGCTCAGCAGGGCATTTTCAATCATGTTCTATAAATGGCAGGCTGGTAAATGAGTCGTAAAGAAAGAATAAAGAAAATGTTACTGCTTCTCCTTTATTGGTACATTATGGCAACGTGTAGAAAGAAAAGAAGGGAAATGAGAGAGTCAGGCGAATCTCTGATTGCTGAAGAGTCCAACGTGCTTGGGTGCCACAGAACCGATAAGATGAAAAGTGGCAACTGCTGAGTGCTATGAGAAGAACCAAGTTTTAAAGCTGCTTTACCCCACAGCAAAAATTTGGATGCTGGCTCTCAAAATACCTAAATACACTGCTTTCATTTCCTACCTGTCATGGACACTGTTTTATAGTTTGGGGGTAGGGTTGGTTAGGATTTTACACAATTATAGATGACAGGGCCATGGAGGAAAGATCTATTTCCAAGAAGAGCTAGAAGTGGCAGACCCCAGATAATCTGAAAGTAACTGAATCCAAAAACATATAAGCATAAAGCCTGCACAGAAATGTCAGCTCTCCCAAAGTTGAAACAAAGATGAAAACATTCAAACAATAAAAAAATTAGCCATATGTATCCAACAAGCAAGTAATAAGATTAGCAAGTAGTGGGTAACTGAGAAAAGCCATAAACCCCCTCAGTTCTCCTCTCTGCACCGCAGTGATGCAGGTATCTGTGGGTACCCACACCTGCGGTCCAGGTGGATGTGCCTTTCCGATTTCTTACCTCGCTTCGGTCGTCGGTTGGGACGGGTGAAGGCCGTGCTTCTTCATCTAGTGGCTCAATCACTGTCACCTCTGCGAACTCCTCCACGGATTCTTGAAATTCAGGTAAGGACCTTCGTCCGTAACGCTTCCCACCTCTGACATATTTGGGCTGGGCTTCCAGTGAGCAGTCTGGGCAAGGAGAAAAGAGTTGAGGCCACATTACACGACAATCTCAGCCCTTAGCTGACACACACAGCCGTCAGATGCAGCCTCTTATACCAGCCCCAAAATAAACCACCACCATTTGCCAGTTGGGGTGGATGGATGTGGGTGTGTGTGAGCCACCAGGTCAGATGCAGAGCACAGCTTCTTTCTAATTCAGAATGACTGACAGCACCCAGAGTATATCTCTGCACAAAATGCAAGAAATACAATGCCAGCAGGGAGGGACCTGATTTAAAAATACAAAGCGAGGGATCATATGTTTTCTGTTTATTAAGCTGGTATTTTGCAGAGAAATGTAAAGGGAGAGGGACGATCATACCGACAGAGAGACACATTGGAGGAAATCTTGGAACATCATGATAAAACAAACACCACATCGGCACTGTGAAGTCAGTACTCACACCGATTAGTCTGAAACACACCCGCCGCGTACCTCAGTGACTCCTTTGTTAACCATCCCAATTTCTGATCTATCAGACAAGCAGGAAGGCAGAACAAAGAAACTGACACAGTGGCTCCTAATCAATTAATGACAGTTCATCGCTTATATGCAACCTGGCATCACAGCTCATTATAAAATTAAAAGCTGTGGAATAAAATAGAAAATGCGAAACTGCATTAAGAGATATGGTATATTATGTTTTCTTCTTCTTCATGAGCTCCAGTGTTGTACAAAATAAAAAGAATTGTGCATAAGGAGTCATCTCTTGACCTTAAAGAAAGACTTCAGCATTCTGACACAACATGTCGCAGGTTCAACAGTCACCACCACCACCATCACCACCGTTTCCACCACCACTAGCATCACCACCACCACACACTAACCTTTCTATAATGGATAGCTTTAAAGCAATAAAATAAATACTTCACTCTACGCAAATATCATCTTAGATACTGATTTTTTTAGTACTGTGCACAGAATTAGGAGAATAAAATATTTCATTGACATACAAAAGACTGGCAATGCTTTCCATCATCCACACAGAGTATCTCTCTGGAGAACATAATATGTGTTCTGTTTGAACATGACAGTTGTAACAAGATATGTCTGAACTCAGACATGTAGATTTTTAGATGAGGTATATCCACATACCAACAAAATGAGGGTGTAGTTGACTAGATAAGAACAAAACCCTTCCTTTATCATCACACAGGTTGGGGGTTAGCCATTACTCTGTAGTTTCCCTGGGAGGAGGGGTGACCCTATTTGACTAACTCTGCCACCCTCCCCTGATGGCCCTTCCTCTGGTATAAGCTCAGATTTCACAGATGTGGTCAGAAGCATCCTGAAAATGCTCCGCAAAGCTCAGAGTGAAGTATTTATGCTTGCTCTCTAATTTCTAGCGATATTTATATCCAGCTTTTTTAAAGTCCCAGCCAAGACATTATAGTAGGTCGAGCGATTCTCTTACAGGAAGCATTTAAGTATACAAAATTTATATTGAAAATCACATGCACATTTGAAGGTACCTTTTATCAGAAGAGAGTGTGTCAGCTTGTGAGTATTCAGGAGCGGCCCAGACACCCGAGCTACTTGTTGGCAGCTGACACCCACAGATGCTAGTCAGACAAGAGGCAATGCAGAACCATCCTTAATTTATGACATATTCTTAAATTTTACTGGCAGACAACAAGATACACCATTAGGGATGATGGGGGCTTGGAAAAGAGTAAAAGGAAAACTTATAACAGCAGAAAATGGAACACAGGATTTTCCCAGTGTGAGAACAGTCTTGGTCTGGAGATGGAAGTGGCAGAAGAGCTCTTAATGCATGCTGCACCTTTTCAAGGAAAAAAAGAAAGGAGTGGAACAAAGCAACCATCTTAAAAAACCCACTGTGATTTAATCCAAAAGCCACCTGTGGATGAAATGGTTCTCTAGCTATTTACCACTAAATACCCCATGCCGTGTAGGGAGCAGTGGTAGATTTGAAACAACTCTTTTTCTGAGCAATGGAAAGTAATAGATTGTGAACCATTAGGAACCCTGTGGGGTTTGGGTTGATTTGTTTACTTACTTATTTTTGCATTGCCAGGAACTTTTTAAAAAAATTTTATTTATTATATTTTATTATAACTAATTTTGAGCAAACTTTAAGTTAACATCCTTCACAGAATGTACACATGTGACAAGGTCAATCTCTAGAGACATTTATTAAACTGCATAACATTTTTGGAATAGAGATACTAAGCACACACAGGGAATAAATGGGATAATAAAGTTTCGTTATACTGAATTTCCCAAGCTATCCGTGAAACCCATAAAGAATTAGATTAATCATACCGATTAAAAACAAGTACTTCTTAAACTTACACACTCATCTATCCCTCTCCTCTGTAGAGTATCAGCATCATTTTACCTACATGATGAGAAGGGGGGGAAAGGTGGCAAAAGGAGGTGCCAAGAAAGCATACGTGGTCAACAGCCATTGTGGTGTTAACTATCTGAAAACTCCACAATTCTCCTTATCAATCTCAGCCAGGCTTTACGAGCCCACAGCAGCAGCCGTCCAGCAAGCAGGAGGGTTCAGCGGGGATTTTAAGACATTCTTACACACCCAAATTAAAGACAGCCTTACCCCTCTTCTTACCATGCTCAACAAGGCTTGCTCAACCGCAACCTGGGGCAGTTTATTTACTTTAGGAGTTCATCCAGATTTAACTTATATATTTCAGGGTTTCGTACTGGAACAATTTTATCTATGCCAGATAACATAGAGTCCTTTGATTTATTAAGAAATAAAATAGAACCATTAAAAGGGGGGGGGGGGTTAAGGGGAATAAGAGGTCCAAATTTCCAGGTGTAAAACAAATAAGTCACGGGGATGTAATGTACAGCATAGGGAATATAGTCAATAATATTGTGATAGCATAGTACAGTGTCAGATGGTTGCTGGACTTATCATGGTGATCACTTCTTTAGGTATACAGATGTTGAATAACTATGGTGTACTGCTGAAATTAATATATGTTAACCATATTTTAATAAAAATCTTAAAGAAAATAAAGTAAATCCTACATCTCCTATAGTGTAAGTAACTGCTGCAATCATGAGCTCCAAGGAAGGACAGAGGTGAAATGCCAGTGAAACAAAGAAAATATAAAGGACTGCTGTGCTTTCAGTGTTTTATTTCCTTGAACATATATTTATGATTCTACCTGGATTGTCAATCTTCTGGATAAGTTTCCCTTCTTTCCCATTTTCCATTTCTCCTATTTGTCATCACTACATAAAAATAAAAATGGGGTTTGAAGGAAAACAGACAATACTCCTGCCGAGAAAAGTCTTGGACCCCATCCCTGGAGATCTCATTATGAGTAAGTAGTAAGGTGACTTTGAGGCAGTCCTATCTGACCTAGTTTGGATGGTCTAGGCCTTATTCCATAAACCAAACACTTGGTTTGATTCAATTTCCTAAAGGCTGCAACTAACAGTGCAACTAATATAGCAGCAACTAACAGTCTCTGCAGAGCAGGTGGGCAAAAAAAGAAAAATCTAATCAGAGTTCAAAAGACAAAAACCAGAAAATCCATTCCTCCTGGCCTTAGATATCAAACAAATTCTGGGTGCTCAGACACCACATTCTTTACTCCATATCTCATCTGTCCCAAGAAGAGGAACTCCAGACCTGTGATAATGTTAACCTTCCAGAATCAGGATGAATCACCGTGCACATGTCTGACTTGTGACCAGAAAGAAAATTGAAATACACTGCCAGTGAGAATGACCACTCAGGGGATAAGCCAGCAGCCGGCAGGGAAAACTACTGACATGCACCCATCCCATCCGTGTCCCTTCCCTTCCCCAACTCTAACTGAGCAGTACTTTCTGGAACTGACTTCGGTCACCAGTGTGATGGAGACTGCCACTTGGAAAGCTGAGCTCTCCTGATGGCCTAAGGCAAAGCAGTGAGGACCCAAGAGGAAGCTGAAACAGTTACCAGAAAGCCTACACTATTCAATCAATGCTTTCTTTGCAAAAACACAAGCTTAAGACCTGGAAGGAAGGGGCATCCACAGCACATATGGGAAGTTTAAGGAGAATCTCAAAGAGGCACTCCAGCCTTGGGCTGATTCACTTAACTCATATTTATTGAATGCCTGCCATGGGCAAAGCATTATGTTGTACCTGTTCAGGGGTAAGATGAATATTTTATCATTTTTTGAATCAAATTTCCCTGTTCCTAAAAATGACCTGAGGACATTACCAGGATGGAGAAGAAAGCCCAGCTTTTATGGTGCTGATATTCTTATTTGGGATCACCGGCACAGCGCCTTGCTTTCTGCTTCTCCTCCTGCCCCACTCAGCCAGCCCAGGAACTCATTCCCTGGACAGCACCTCCTTCCCAAGGACTCATCAGCACAGGGGACCACCAGTCTGAGGCTCTCCAAACTACATTTCCTCCAAGCTCACAGAATTCCCAAAATCCATTTGAAAACAAGACAGAGTAAAAAATGAAGTGCATGCAAACCTCAGGACAAGCATCCCAGAAGCTTCTCTGGGGGAAAGGAAGCCATGCAGCAAGCGAGCATCACCAGCCCACCATCCATCCCCACAGCCTCGCCTGCTCCAACCCGCACCATTTCACTGGCATTACAGTTAGAGTGCAAACCCACACCTGATTCTATAAAAGGGAAAAGGGAGAGAAAGAATCAAAGGGGAGACAGACAGAGAGACAGAGAGAGACAGAGAGAGACAGAGAGAGAGAGAGAGAGAGAGAGAGAGAGAGAGAGAGGGCGAGAAGGAGACAGACAGACACTGACAGAGAACGAGATTGAGACCAAGAGAGAAGGGTGTAGAGACAGAAGATGGGCAGAGACCTAGAGGCTTGTGCTGGACTGGGGAAGGGTGCGGGGGAGACCAAGAGGTAAGAAAGAGTGGGGGTGAGGGCAAGGAGGAGAGAAGGGTAGAGGTGAGCTGGAGTGGTGGACAGAAAGGGGCAAGGAGGGGGATGTCCCAAGAAAGGGAGGGGGAAAAGAGAGGCGAAGCAAATGAACAACAACAACAAAAAGACATCAGGAGAGTCCTCCAACATGCCATTCCTTCTGCCTCCCAGTAAGCTCCCTGCCTTTGCAGGAGATGTCGGCAGGCAGGGTCATGGCCCCACATGTGTGTGGGTGCACACAGCTCTCCCAACACAGCTGCTTGAGGGCGCATGCCACAGTGCTCCCCAATTACTCCTCTCTCTTGATGCATGTGTCCAATTGGAGCTTTCAGGTCCTCCCTGGATGCAATGACAGAGTTTTAGGAGTCTACATCAGCCCCTACCAGTCTGAATGATGCATCTTGCTGGGACACAAAGGTAATGGGGGTGGCTCAGAACAGCCTTGCCTGGGAGGAAGTTTTCAAGGGGGAGGTTATCACCCCACAAGGGTGTGGAGGGAGGCAACCCCCAGGGCTGATAGGTCTGACTAAGCCCTAAAGCAGTTGAAGATCAGTCAAGAGGAAAAAGTCTTTGAGTTGATAATGATATGATTGTTTCTCCAGGCTTCTCCTGGGAGGAGCCGGCTCACCAGCAAGAGGCACCCACATGGGGGCCCCAGGGGAGCAAAGTCAGGGAGAGTCAGTCTCATAGCCCTCAATCCCAAAGCAAATTTCCTCGACCTCATTTTTTGCAGTGGGTAAGATTAGTGGCAAAAGCATAATGACATTATCCAGTCCATCATCTCAGAAACTAGAGCTGCCTCCATCTCATTCTTGCCCTCATTTTCCGTTAGCAATGGGCTGATGTGAGAGGGACACACCAATTCTCTAAGCCTCCCTGTAGAAAACCATCATCTTTATAGTCCCCATTTGGAAACTTTCTCATACACTGAAGTTCAAATCAACTTACAATATCAGCAGAACTCCCAAGTAAACCGTTTCGCATTATAAAAATTCTCACCAGCCCTATTTATTTAATTTTAAATAACATGAGTATATTTTTTGCATGTACACGTTTTTTAAAAACAGCCTTTTTACCCTTAGTAAAATCATCATAACAATAAGTATTCTTCTATAGCACAATTTAATAACTGCTTAATCTTTGATTACAAAAATACATCATAATTTGCCTAACACATTGTCAAATATTTATGCTTTATATATATATGTATGTGTGTGAATATATATACCCACATACACACACATATATATATTGCAGTGTTTTAAATGACTGTCTATATACACACATCTTTGTGTACACCCATAGTTATGTCTATTATTTCTATAAAATCTGAGAGTAACATTGATTAGCCAAAGGCATTTTTATAGTTTTGGTGCCTATTGTTTTATATAATTCCAGGGAGGTCCTATCTTTTTACCTGACCACCATTGGGTGTGAATGTTCCCAACTCCCCTTGACTTCCTGAACTGACTCCCCACTTTTGGTGGTGGTGCTGATAGTGGTAGTGGTTTTATTATGCTTTTCATTTAGGGAGAAATGTTCTGGTCCTCGCTGTCAACATCTCATAGATACCAAGGGAATAGGAGACTAAGTTCTTACTTATCTTACTCAACCAAAGAGAGGACAACAGAACATGCCTGTTGGGCCATCTGTATAATATCTCCTAAACATAGGCGTGCCTGGCCCATGGCCTCTGAATACAGCTGCAACAGAAACCTTCAATCACTGCAATGCAAGACCTAGTCAGGCGCTCTCGGACCCGCTTCAATGCACATTTGCTGAATGAATGAAAAGGTCCCTGTTTATTATACTTATAGCTTCTTCAAAAAATAAGGAAAATAATCAAAATTAGGGTGGTTTCTGGAGTTAGGAATGTTTATTACAAAAAACAAACAAACAAACAAACAAACAAAACCAATCATCTACACCAAAACCATGCCTCGTCTGATCTTTCTAATGATTTGGCTTTTCCAAACCTGAGTTTTCCCTCACCAGATAAACAAAGGAAAGCTATATCTTAACGCGAACCATATCAGAAAAAGAAAGGACTACCTGCATTATGCTAACATCGACTACAGAGTAGAAATCTAATGTAAGATGCATCCAATGAGGACAAACTCTCTTGAGAACAGATTCTGACAGCATGCTGATGTCAGGTAGCTTAGAGCTGGAGCCGGCATGGCTATTACGAAAATCCTACAATCCACGGCCATAGCACATTGAATAAATGACTAATAATTAAGCTGTTATCCTTCATTTATTCCAGGAAAGTAATTTAAAAATTAAATTGTACATGTAGATACGAGGGAGGTAGGCCACTGGCCATGTTATTCAGTTTAGAATTGACAAAGGATTCCCTACAACCCAAATCCATTTTTCTACCCTTATCTGAATTTCAGTATTTCTCATTGTATTGTTGTTATTGTCATTGTTGTGATTTTTGCTTTTTAAAGAAAACACTCTCTCCTAAGATGCTGAAAATAATCTAGTCCATACCCTCCAGTTTTAAAAATAAAGAAACTACCTCAGAGAAGTTATGAATGGCGGAACCCAAGCGTACAGAAATAATGAGTTACTTCCATCTCCTCTCAAATCCTATTATAACTTTGTTTTTGTATTATTTACACATAACTGCCTTTTATTAGGGGGAATGTGAGAGCTTGTCATATACTGGGCATTTGTCCCTAGGAAGCAAAACTTTATAGTGTCAATTTATGTTAGGTAAAAATTTTACAGAAACAGAAAGCTAAGTTCTTTCATAAAATTAGATAATGCCATTTCGATATTAGGACACAACACAATCAAATCTTGGAGCTGAATGGATTTTAAGTATTTTCCAGTACAACCACTTTTATATACTGGGTGACCCAAAACCACAGAGATTATTACATATAAGGCCACCCAATTAGAAAGATAGAGACAGTATTTCATAACTCAAGGCTCTTTCCACCATATCAAGCTGGCTTTTCTATATTATGGTCTTGTACAGCATCTGGAATTTTTAATGTATAAAAATCTTAGACATGATAAAATATCAGTTCAGGATCTATTCAGTTTCTAAGGCTATGCACTATGGCCTTCCTGTTTTCAGTCACCTTTCATAGTTTAAGGATAATCTTTTCTCTCAACGTCTAGTAGGTCCACTGATTTCAAAAGGCAAGACACAAATACCACAGCCTGGCCCCTTATAGAAGATAAATTGAGTACCGAACAGCCAAATGATGCTGAGGACACGGACCTCCCTGTCACTAATGATCAGGTGGAACTTGCTCTTATTCACCCCTTCCGGCTGCCTCTGGCCACTTGTCAGAATCTTCCTGGCCAGGCTGCACTGACTGAGCACTGGGTTGCCCCCAGCTCTCCATCTGAGGGTTAGCACCCTTAAACTACAGGCTCCTGGGGTCACATCCTTGGCCATATGGCGTCAGCATCCCCTCTGCCACTATCTGTGAGATTTCAAGTAAGCTCTGTCCTTCTTCAGGACTCAGTTTGCTCATGGGCAAAATGACAGAGTTCTCTCTAGCCAAATGAAGATATGGTCCATGACTTAAAAGATAGTTCTTTTCAGAAAGGGGAAGGAGGGGGTGAACTCGGGTGGCTTCTTGATATACTGTATTTGAGTCCTGACCCTTCTTCCTGTCTCTCACCAGCCACACCAATCAGCCTGTGGGGGTGGCGTCACATTTTAGAGCGGGTGGGAGAACATTTGAATGGAAAGAGCTGTGTGATCCCCAGGCACAACCGGAAGGGCCAGACAGAGATGGGCAAAAGATAGAAAAAGCAGAGGTGCTCAGGAACAAAGCTGGGCATGTGGGAGGGACGGCTGGCTCACTGCCTCCTGTGAGATAAAAACTCTTAAGGCACAGACTCAATCCTAGATTTTATCCTGCCAGACCAAACATCAGGGGAGTGACAAAAACGCTGGATGAAATGTTATCGATAAGTACGTTGCTGCTTCATTACATGGATTTGGAGCAGTTCTATAACAAAGGTTTGCTCCAGCCTGCCCAAAGGATGGAGCACAGAGTGAAACTATAAAAATCCCTTGTGTGTGTTGTCCTGGAAGACTTATCCAAATTATGGTTTTGGCCTGCACAGCAGCAAGGCACACACATAACTCTGAAACACCATCTGGACCCAGAATCATAAACGTTTTACTTCCTAGTTGTTACCAAGCTCAGCCAGCCATTGTCTATGTCCTCATCCCGTTATTTATGTCCCAACACTGCACAAATCTAGGGCTCACCCTTCACATCTGTGGTCACTATAAATCTCTATCTTTATTATGATAATTTTCTGGCACGTGACAGTACAGGTTTTGAAGAAACGGCAGCAAAAGAATCATGTGGACGAATGCCAGGGCTATGCCCTCCAAACCTGCACAAAAATACATTATTAGCCTACAGAAGAACACGGAACTTATGCTTGGTACCTATGCTCATTTAACGAAAATGTTACGGTAATGTCACCACAACTCTACTCAGGGCCCCAGCTCTTGCACTATTGTTATCAAGATGACAAACAACCTTACATAAGGAAAGATACCAATAAAATGTGAGACCCCGTAAGAACAAAAGTCCATGTTCCAGCAGTGGTCACCTACAGAAATTCTACTGTTAGGCTGGAAAATCTTGAGGAGGCCATAACCTCTTCCCAGGCGGCTCACTGTGGGCTTCCAGAGGGCCCTGGCAAGCATCAGAGTTGACAAGAACCTTCCTAGGGGTGGTCACCATATGCAAAAAGGGGGAGACTCGATCCAGAATCCAAAACAGTGAACACAGTGTTCACACATATGACACAAATCTGGAGCGTTTCAGAAGGTGCGATGAAGAACTGGATCACCAGTGAGGATAAGAAATGAGTTCCCATCTGTGCTTCATTTAAATGGGTCACATTGAATGACTCCTTGTGGTGACAAAATGTTAATGATTTTCCTCAGTCTCAAAAACTGGACTATATTTTTTATGTGCTTTTTAAAAAAAATCAGGTTCATTAAGGCATAATTTATATAGAGTAAATTTCACCCTTTTAGTGCACAATTTTATGGGTTGGAAAAACGCATAAAATCAGTAACTACCACCATAATCAAGACATTAAACAGTTTCATCACCCCCAAAATTTCCTCATGCCCCTTTATAGTCAATCCCTAACCTCAGCCCAATGTCCACTGATTTGATAAAATTGGACTGTATTATAATACAAATTTCAACACTCTTTAGACTTTCCCTTAAATATTTACCATATTTCATCGATTCTACCACATACACATACACACACACACACACACACACACACACACACACACACACACCTAGATTTGAACACTGCAATTAGGATGTCTTACAATCAATGGCATTTTACCACTATAACTGGCGACAATTTTTCTTCTTAGAGATACATAAAATAATGTGTTTCATAATCGATAGTGTCTTTAAAAAAAATCAATGAAGTATATTACAGTCATAACATTCATTGAATACTTACTATGTGTTAATCATTGCACTAGGCCCCGGAAATACAAAAAAAAAAAAAGTGAACCACATGGTCCTCAAGGAACTATTGCTTGAGAGGGGGAGATAAACAATTATAATGTGATGATGTCTATAGCAGAGGGTTATGCACTCAGTAGGACTAAATAAAATTATCTCTAGATAGGCCACCCTTCTTTTTTCAGGCGAAATTCTCAATTCATATCCTTCAATGTACACAAGAAATAAGAATGAAGGAAGTATCATTCAGTTTCACTCTGCTCATTCCAGGCGTGAGTTATTGCCATACCACCTGACGTATTGCCTAGGAACAATCCAATTATTCCTCCCATAATTCGCTGTTGTCGGAGGGAAGTCTCATTTTAGTGTTCAACAGCTGCAGGGCTTTTATGATAATAGCAAAAGACAAGTCCCTGAAAATAACTGCTCAATCTATGAAAGGCAGATGCACCAAATCTTTCATAGACATGCTTCAAGATCCCCAAATTCTTCCCTGCACAACTTCTAAAGGAGAATGTAGAGAAGACATGTTAAGTGTCCTTACCTGGTTCTTGAAAATGTTCTTCATTGGATAGAGTTCTAGACAAGATAAGTATTAACGCTTCTTTAAACTGGTCAAAATGCACCTAAAAATAAGCAATTAAAAATAAATTCAAAATAGTTTCTACAGTCTTAAGGAAACAAATCCATCTACATACAAGGTACCAGAGCCATTGTTAGCATCCTGAGAGCCTCAAAGCAGTAACTCATAACCTGCTTTTGTTCCCTTTTTTTCTTCATTTCTCTAAAGCACTAAAGGGAAAACGGGCTGGGTATTTTTGACACCCCAGCGTCATAAATACTAATATCAATATTTATTCAAACCTGAGGGGAAAAGCTATACAGCAAAACCTTCTTTACAAACTCAGAAAAAAAGATGTTTTGAACTCTTATTTTTCTGAACAAGACCAGAAGAAAAAGATGTTAGGTTAGATATTAGGAAAAACTTCCTAAGTAAATGATCCATTGTAATGATGTTCTAAATATGCTTTTATCTCTTAAGATAGTCTAGAACAGCGGTTCTCAACCTGTGGGTCGTGACCCCTTTGGGGGTCGAATGACCCTTTCACAGGGATCGCCTAAGACCATCAGAAAACAAAAAGATATTTACATTACGATTCATAACAGTAGCAAAATGACAGTTATAGAGTAGCAACGAAAATAATTTTATGGTTGGGGGTCACCACAACATGAGGAACTGTATTAAGGGGTCGCAGCATTAGGAAGGTTGAGAACTGCTGGTCTAGAAGGAGTAAGTTATCTTTTGAGGATGACTTGCATATAGTTTTGCCGAGGGCAGGCATATAATATTTATGTCCCAAGACCCCTATGATTCTATAAATAAGCAGAAATCAATAGCAAACATCAAGGATAAAAGGAGCTTGGAAAGCATTTTCCTGAATTCTTAAAAACACAGTTACCTTGACTGAATTTGGAAAGAACCTGAGTTTTCTTTAAATAAATAGTTAGAATTGGGATATCACTGGTTAAAGGGGTAAAATAGTTTTCTTTCTGGCCAAATATATTTTTCTATAACATAAATTTGTGTGATCTCACTGTGGGGCAGAAGGGAGAGAGGTATTTCTTCTCACCATTACTCTAGTTTGATAATGTGGCACCTATTTATACAGAAGCCCATATGTAAATACAAAGTTGGTAAATCTGTAATTTATACTCTTATGGGTCTCCTTGGACATCATTACAAGACATGGCCTAGAAGTTTAAATATATACAACAGATAAAAAACACTTTCAAATTAAATTTGGAAAAGCAACAAACCTCACGAGTTATCTAAACAATGGAGGAAAAAAGTCATATACTGTGTTACTCATGCAAATCAAAGGAGAGGAAGCCATCGAGATCCTGTCATAAAATTGTAGATACTTGCAACTGACAACACTCTCCCAAAGCATATGTGATTTCTCTACTATATTAGTTTTGATTGATTGGAATCAGATTCCAAAATCGTATTCCTTTAGCTCACGTAGACTAAAAAATCAGCATAACTTGCAGAGTCAGAGCAGAAACCTGTCAAGGGAGGCAGGGCATCTGCTGAAGGGCCAGGGCCACACAATCAATGAAAGGGCTAAAAGGTTGTAGAAATGGGTTTCACCAATGACAAACCACTGAGAAGGCTGGGGGGCGGGGGGAGGGCACGCAGGTCCTGCTGTGTCCCAGAGATCAGAGGTGGGCTTCAGGCACTGCGGCATCCCAGCTCCAGCTCCCAACCAGCCAGTCCACAGAAATCATATGCCCAGGGGCACATCATATACCCCTCAGGGGCACTTCCAGGCATTTCCTACTTCCTGCCAGAATCTGCCTCCCTCTCAGGGAGGGCCGCAGGAGGGTTAGGAGCACAGGTTGTGCGCTGGAGCCAGCTGGTTCCAGGTTCTGAGTGGCTCAGTCACTCATTTCCTTCTGTGAATTGACTAAATTACTAAACCTCTCTGAGCTTTGGTTTGCTCGTGTGTAAAAATGGGGCTATCTAACAACTAATATTTATGATTCATTCAACAAATATTTATTGAGCAGCTGCTATGCACCAGGCACTAATCCTAGGCCCTGGTAATACAGCAGTGAATGAGAGTGACAAAGATTCCTGCGGCCACGGAGCACAAATTCTCAGGCAATGTCACAGGGAGAGTGGCAGACACTGTGCTAACAGCACTGCATGTATTTTATGTTATTTATTAATAGCACTCCCCTCAGAACAGCATTGGGGAGACAAAATGAGAATTATGTAAAGTATGTAGAACTTCCTGGCACTTATTAGGTACTAAGCAAGTGGAAGTGAATACTACAACAAGGTATAGTAACACGGGTGACTGTTCCCATCACTTTTACAGAGAAACAGGGCCATGTTCTCAGGCAAAGCAACTGGCCAGGAGAGTAACCAAGCCAGCCAGCAGGAGTCGGGGCGGTGACGGCAGGGAGGCCCAGGTGCCTACCTTGCCCCCAGGACCTGTGTAGTTGCCCAGCATCGGAGGAACTGATCCAGTCCACTTTGTTAAGGGACCCCAACTCTGGGTGTCTCCTCGCTTAGGATATTAATGGAGACGACCCGAGTGAAACCTAAGTCTCTACTTGCCACAGTTAATGGGTTGAACAGAAAGAGGCTTCTGTTTCAAATGGGAGGCGCTTGTCTTCAGACTTTCCAATCTTTTATACTTGTCTCTGGGGGTCTCTACAGGGTCTTCTAAAGATATGTTTTGATAGAGGTCATTGGAAAGAGCCCTTCTGAGTTTCATCCTAACAGTTCAATTCAGGGAGTATAAGCCATGAAAATCATCCAGGGGTCTCTGTACCTCAGTTTTTACTCCCCCTAAAAAATGACAAAAACAGCTATAATCTGGATGTTAATTTTAATCAGCATCCAAGGTTTTATTTTTTTGTATTCAAGGGATACTTAGGCCTCATACAAACACACCAACTTCTGAAGACAGTTTATTATCCTCATTTATGTGGAGGCTGCTTTTCTCTCAACCTCAATGATCTAGAATACGGGAGACAATCGGGAAACAAGTGGTGTCCAAAGCTGAGGAAGGCACCCTGAAGAAGCCTACACACTCCTCATAGAAAACGCCGCAGAAGCAACTCAGGACCTATCTATTCTCACTGTACTTGATTTAGTATAAACTTCATCAGCCTGTTTCCCAACCCTCTACAGATTAGAAGCAGCAAACAAAAGAAAGGGGTGCTCCAGGGTAAGTGCAAGAAATAATACAGACATTGGGATTGAGGAAAAGACATTGACTATCCTCCCTCAAAGAAACATCAAGTATAATTTGTTTTGCACGTTAACAAACTATTTTCTAAAACTATCTAAACTACATAAAAAAGGCACATGCCCTCAAAAACCTGAAAGTTTGGGGTTATTTAGTGTTGGGGCAAGGATCTATGTGCTGCTAAGTAAATCCTGCGGGTATCACTTTCATAGAAGGGTAAGTGATAGGCCAAGAAGATTTAAATGATTAAGAACAACCTTGTAATGTTTAATATACTCTTTGGTAGGGCAAAACATTAATAAAAAAAATTTTAAATCCCCAATAGTTAACCTTTTTTTTTTAAACAAAAAAAAGTCTGCCACTAATTGGGATAAGAGATCCAGTTATTAGAAAATTTGATTAATGTGGGTCCTGGATAATACGAGATGAATGTGGTGTTAGTGTAGGTTCATTTTTTGCTGGGCATTTGGTCATTTGGCTCTCACAACACCTATGGGAACTGCTCAAGACAGGCATCCCGCCTTAGAACTGATGAGAGAGGCTCAGAGGAGGCCTGTGCCCAGTCCAGTGCCACATATCTTGAAGTGATGGGGTTACTTGGAGAACCCAGGCCTTCTAACTGAATACATTAAAGTCCGGTAACTCTGCCAGCCCCAGGCCAGCTCCACTCCTGGTCTAACCTCTCAGGGAAATCCCTCTGCTGCTCCAAGTCAAATCCTCTACTTTACACAAAGCCACTAGGCATAAAGCAGTATGCTGGGACTTCAGGGAATATAAGATCAAGGAGATATGTGACCAGTTAGCTCAGTTGGTTAGAGCAGCATGCTGATAACACCAAGGTTGCCAGTTCGATCCCCGCATGGGCCACTGTGAGCTGCGCCCTCCTTAAAACGGTCAACTCTGCCATTGTAGCATGAAAGCAATGTGTAACCAATGACCATGGCTGTTCCCCAGTGAAATTTAAAAAAAAAAAAAAAGAAATATGGTAGGTTGGTTAACAAAAAATAAATTCTTTTTTAAAAAAAGAATCCACTTTAAAAAAAAAAAAAAAGAAGAAGAAGAAGATATGTAACCTCTGCCCTCAAGAAATTTATCAGCTAGATTCTAGAGTGTGGGAGGGTAGAATGGGGAAGATAAGGAAGGGGAAAGTTTATTAGTAACCACAAGGTAGAATCTGTTAAGTATTCTGAGAGAGACAAAAACAAGCTGGTAGGGACCTACAAACAAGCATCTCCTACCGGGCCAGCAGGCAGGGAGATAGGGACATTTGGTGACATTTGACTTCTCCAAGATATTCACAGGCAGAGCTTAAAGATTTCCAAAATGGACATATAATGTATTACATCTGCCACATTTTAGAAGAAAAGGGTCTATAAAAGACTAAATATGATTATTAACTCAGAGGTTCTTTATAATCCAACAATGTCTATCTAGGTAACCCCTTCCTCCCTGACCAAAAAAAAAAAAAATCTAACACTCCCCCCAATAAAGCTGGCAAGCTGATCAAAACAATTGGAGCAGTGGGGGAAGGGCAAAAATGGGAAAAGGGGTCAATTATGTGGTAACAGATGGAAACTGGACTCTTGGTGGTGAGCATGCTACAGTGTACACACATCGTGAATTATAATGCTGTACACCTGAAACTTACATAATGTTATTAACCAACATTACCCCAATAAGAAAAATATTGGAGCAGCTTTAAGTCTTAAGTTGATCTTTATTTTCCTTCTTGCAAGGGCATATAGACAGTGGACCCTCCACTTCAAACAACAGTAAATTCCACACGCTTCAGAAAGAGTGCTCTAACAGAGGCAGGTGACTATTTTTCATCAATGCTCATGAATACTGATGTGGTGGAAAAG